GGCTCGCCCTGGGCAGAGGGCCGAGGGCAGCCCATCCTGGGCAGAGGGCCGCGACGGCTCACCCCAGGCCGGGGGCCGAGGGCAGCCTGCCCCAGGCAGAGGGCTGTGACAGCTCGCCCCAGGCAGGGGGCCGAGGGCAGCCCGCCCTGGGCAGAGGGCCGCGACGTCTCACCCCGGGCAGGGGGCTGAGGGCAGCCCGCTAAAGAAAATTTTATGAGCACAATTCAATGACATTATTCACATGCTGTGCAACTATAACCATTACCTGGTTCCAGTTTTTTTCCCTCATTCTTAAAAGTTTCCTTAACTCAATAACTTCACATTTCCTTTTTCCACTCACTCTGGTAACCACTCATAAACGTTAGTGTCTATGCACTTGCCTGTCCTAGAGAACTCATAATAAATAGGACTGCACAGTATTTATCCTTTTATGTCTGGTGCTTTGTGAACTGTTTTCAGAGTTCATTCATGTCTGCAGCATGTCTCAGAATTCAGTTCCCTTTATGGCTGAATACTGTTTCATTTTGTGTATTTTTATCACACTTTGTATTCATAATTTTTTAATGAATCAATTTAATACCTTTTTATTAATTTAACTTTTAAAATTTAAATTGGTTTACATATGAAGTTCATGTACATTGTGTTTCACACTATTCTTCATTCACATTACTATTCTTCATTCACATTGTGTTTCATACAATCATTCTCATTCATTATGTTTTGTAAAATCAATCATCATTGAACTATGCTCACTATTACCATCTTTCCAAATCCCCTCTGGACCTTTCCCATTTCCTTTACCCCACCTCCCTCCACCCACCAAATTGTGTGACCCTGTGATATCCTCCCTGCCCATCCTTAACCCTCTGATCTCACCTCTTTCCCTTTGGAAAACATTTTACTAGTTCTCCTACCATTTTTACAATAATGGTTCTATGCAGTATTTCCTTATGAGACTGAGTTAATTCCCTTAGCATGGTGCCCTCTGTTGTTGTTGTGAACAGTTGAGCCAGAACCAACCCATGGTTGACCCCTCCAGTGGGTTTTCAGAGGCAGTTAATCACACAGAAGGAAATGGCCCATCTTTCTCCCATGGAGCACCTGGTGGATTTGCACTGTGTGCCTTCAGGTTGGCAGCACGGATTCTTACTACTAGGCCATCAGAACTCCCTTTAATGCCCTCTCATCTCTCCCTAGTTATATAGTAATTTTTGAAATTGTTGTTCCTGAGTGCTGCATTCATCATTTCCCAAATCATTTGATTGTGGTTGAACATTTGCGCTTTTTCCATGATCTTGTGATGCTATAAACATTCATGTACAAATCTGTTTGTGTCTCAGTTCTAATTTCCTTGAGGTATTATCCTAGAAGTGGAATATCTGGGTCATATAGAATTTCTATGTTCAGCATTTTTTAGGAAATGCCAAACTGCCTTCCAGAGTGGTTGTGCTATTTTACAATTCCACCAATAGTATATGAGAGTTCCTCTCTCTCTACATCCTTTTCAACATTTATTGCTTGCTGTCCTGTTGAACTTTGCCACTGCTACTGGACTGAGATGGTATCTCATTGTGGTTTTGCTTTGCATCTTACTAACTTTTTTATAATTCAGTAAACAGTATTATAAGAAGTAGATGCAAGGTCTGGAAATAAGTGGGTAGTTAGAGATAAAGGCAAAATTATGACATAACTACTTCTTTAGTCTTTGTGGTTGATCTAATATAAATCCCTTGTCTCTCTCAGAGAAAGCTAAATTGTGTGCTATTATAGGCAGGTGCCCAACTGGCAAGAAGCTGTCCTGCAATCCCTAAGGCATGTGGTTCCAATTCACTAGCTGCCTCCATAGGAGAAGGATGGGCAATCTCCTCCCGTGTGATTAACTGCCTCTGAAAACCCTATGAAGGGTTGGCCATGGGTCAGCTCTGACTAGATGGCACACAACAATAAACAACATAGGTAAACTGTTGTTTCATTGCTTTGTTTGAGACTGTTGTGGAATCATTGTGTCAATCCATCTCATTAAAGACCTTCTTCACTTTTGCTGATTTGGTACTTTACCAAGCATGATGTGCTTCTCTAGGGACTGGTCCCTTTTGATAGAACTTGTCTCAGATATGTCAGGTGAATTATAATAATTGTCACTTCCAAGGAACATTTGTTGTATAGTAGAAAGACATTATCCCTTGAGGATTTTAGCTTCCTCCAAGACAGATCTGTTGCTCTACTGACATCCAAGGGACATACAATATTTGTTACAACAAGATTGCTGTACATTGAGATTCCTGATTCCATTGAGATTCCTGATTCCATTTTAGCTTTACCATTTTTCCATTTAGCTTTGGGATCATTATTTCCAGTTTCTAAAACTTTATTCCTCCTCTAGTTA